CAAAGTCGCACGTAGCAGCATTGGATCTATCACATGGTCGGACCATGCGGACATACACTTAAGCATCCAGCACATAGTTACAGCCCCCCCATGGACGTGGAGGCTCAATACCTCCCTTTTAAACGATCCCGAGGCAGTAGCCTCCATACAGGAGAAGCTGTCCTTCTATTTTACCACCAACGACTCCCCCGACTTAACCAAGGGAACACTCTGGGCGGCGCATAAGGCGGTGATCAGAGGCGCGTTTATCCAACTCGCCACCCACAAGAAAAAAGCAAAAACACAACGCCTGCGCGAACTCATGGATTCCCTACACACTAGGGAACAGTGCCACAAGACTTCCCCCACGGAGACCACACTTGCCCAACTAGACACGACTAGGCGGGCCGTTAGGGAGCTGCTTCTCGACGACGCAGCCCGTAGCCTTCTCTGGTCCAAACGGACCTTCTACGAGCAGGCTAACAAGATGGACACTCTCCTAGCCCGCACCCTAAGACCACGACAAACACGCCACCACATCACAGCACTGAAACATCCGGACGGAACAATAAAGACAGCCCCAACCGACATAGCCTCGATCTTCACTGAGTTCTATAGATCCCTATATAACCACTCCCCGACCACCACATCGCAATGGGCGAGCGAGAGGGAGATGACAGCCGCCTTCCTAGGACAGCTAGACCTGCCCAAACTGTCCCCAGAGGAGACAGCCGCTCTCGACTCGGAGATCACAATAGACGAGGTAGATAGAGCCATCTCAAAACTCCATGGTAATAAAGCCCCAGGCCCGGACGGACTAAGCGGCAGATACTATAAAACCTTCAGAGAAACATTAACCCCCCACCTGACGAACTTATTCAACGACTTCCGGACAGGGGGCCTCCCTGACGGAGACCTCACTCGAGCAGACATAGTACTGATCCCGAAACCGGGCAAGGACCCGCAATTACCGGGGAATTACAGACCAATATCGCTCATTAATCATGATGCGAAACTACTAGCTAAAATACTGGCAGACAGACTCAACCCCTTCCTTAGCAAACTAGTAGATGCCGATCAGGTGGGTTTTATCCCAGGGAGGCAATTATTCGAAAACACGCGCAAGAACTGCGACATCATCTGGCGACAACACACTAGCAAGACCCCCACCCTCATAGTTTCACTCGATGCTGAAAAAGCTTTCGACAGGGTGAAATGGCCGTATATGTTTACTCTCCTCGACCACCTAGGACTCCCAGACACATATACTGCGACAATACGAGCGCTATACCACGGGGTCTCGGCACAGATACGCATCCCTGGGACCCACACGCTCCCCTTCCCATTGTCCAAAGGCACGAGGCAGGGCTGCCCGCTGTCCCCCCTCCTATTTGCTCTGGTACTGGAACCACTCCTTCAGGCGCTACGCATTCATCCTGATATCCAGGGAATAACGGTTCAGGGACGGAAGTTCCTGGTCTCGGCGTATGCCGATGATGTCCTCCTCTCCCTCACGTCTCCGATCACCTCCATGAGGGCTGTTCAGGAGACCCTAGCAATATTTAGCCCACTCTCAGGGTACAAACCCAACATGGCCAAGTCCAGTGCCTTACCAATAGAGCTAACGCCAGACGTGATAACTCACATACATAGAGCTCATGGCATCCACATAGCAACCCACTCAATCACCTATTTGGGAGTACAATTGACTTCAGACCCATCCAAAATGCACAAATACAACTACCCCCCCATGATAGCTACTCTTATCAGAGACATGGAGAATTGGGTCGACAAGCCCATCTCATGGATGGGCCGGATTCACTCCATTAAGATGAATCTCCTCCCTAGAATCCTCTTCCTATTTCAAGCCCTTCCCCTCCCGCTCGCAAAAACGGACCTGGCCCACCTCCAAAGAGCCATCGGCAACTTTATATGGCAAAATAAAAGACATCGGGTGTCGAGGCACACGCTATACCGCCCAAAACGAACGGGAGGTCTAGGCCTTCCCAATTTACATAACTACTACTTAGCAGCCCAGCTTGCCCAGATTGCAATGTGGCACTCCCCTATAGACACGAGGAAATGGGTAGAACTGGAATCTCTCCTCATGGGCGCCGACCTCCCACAATACTTTATCTGGGTACCAAAGGATTCCAGACCCATACTGCGGACAGCTTGCCCTGCCATCACCAACTCCATTCACATTTGGGATCAAACATCTCAGAAATACCGGCTGTCATCCTCCCCCTCCCCCCTCATGCCCTATCTCAGAAACAGGGCCTTCCCACCTGGTTTAGTGGCACAAGCTTTCAGAAACATTGAACATACGGGCCTGCAGAGAGCTTGCCAACTATATGTGGAGGGTTCCATCATCCCATTTGACACCATAAAGCAGGGACACCACTTAAACCCGGCCGATTTTTTCCGATACCTCCAGATCGCAGACTACGCCAGGCAACCGCACACAAAAAAGGCCGCACTCACATCCCCCACCTTCTTTGAAAACATATGCCTTAGAGAGCAATCTCTCAGAAGCCTAATCACGCTGTTATACGCGCACATATGCTCAGAAACCAAAGAATGGGGCAACCTCACATATACTGATCAATGGGAGAGGGACCTGGGTGAGGTATTAGAGGGAGTGGATTGGCAGGATATTTGGGAGACGGCGGCCACCTCCTCCATCTGTGTTTCCTTCCAGGAACAATCTTTCAAGACCCTCTTTAGATGGTACACCACCCCAGTACAACTCCATCGCATGCGAAAGACACCCACTGATCTTTGCTGGAGGAACTGTGGTCTGCGGGGCACATACATCCACATGTGGTGGGGGTGCCCCGTCGTCCGCAGGTACTGGGAAGACGTTAGAGACATACTGGGACAGGTATTCCAGAGGGCACCCGCCCTTGACCCGTGGACATACCTCCTGGGCAGACCAATTGACGAATGGCCCAAATATGACCTAAAACTGTTCAACAAAATCACATTGGCGGCCAGACGAGCCCTCGCACAACGCTGGTTAAAAATGCAGCCCCCCACCAGGGCAGCGATCCTGGGGAGAATAAAAGATAGTTGCCTAATGGACGACCTCACAGCAAGGGTGCGCAGTACTCAAAAGGCTTTCGAAAGGACGTGGGGACGCTGGAAGGACTGCCCCCTGGCGGAGTAACCGTCCTTGCGCTTGGCGGGGCCGCGGCCCGGGGGGTCCGAGAGGTGGAAGATGCTAGTCTGCTTGGTGCCCTCCCCCCTTCCCGCCGCCCTCTCCCCGCCTCCTTCTTCCCCCCCCCCCGTCCCCTTGGGCTCCCCCCGCCTGCCCGGGCGCCTGGTCCACCCACCCCCCCACCCTCCTTTCTATCTTCACTCTACCTTTCTCTTATCTTCTTACCCGGGTCCTCGCCTTAGACGAGGGCCCGCTTGATACAATATACACATTAAGCACACGCAGGCAATGATAGCACACTGAAGCGAACTATCAGCGCAAACACGCACGAATTCACACGCCAGGCAGGTAGGCGCCAGGGAGTGGAGGGGGGCCCAGTCAGGCCAAAGTGTATTTCAGTTGTATCTAGTACAAAGCAGGAGTTGAACGCGGGCTCCACAATACAGGGGACAATTTGCAGCTGGAACAAGTCAGAAGGGCCGTCACCTGTATCTAACATAGTTGGAGACTCCACAGCATCATTAAGAGATATCTCATCGCCCAACGGTACCCTGAAACCCTCCAATAGCGCTAGGATAGGCACCACCGAATGCCTACAGAAACCCACCTTCACGCTCTGGCCACCTGTAACTGACTCAATATACAATAAAAAATCGACAGCACAAAAGTGATGTCCAAGCCCCCTAATAAAGAGTCCAGTGCTACAGGCACTTATTGTAGCATCTGATGTCTACCACGCTTATCAACTGTATGCCTATACTGTAATATGTTATGTTATACTTGACCACGGTATATGCTTAAACCGGAACATCTTGCCTTGTTCTATAATACTTTGTCAAATAAAATAAAGAATTAAAAAAAAAAACGACCAAAACAGCCATAAACCCCAGGCCACAGCGAAGGACATGGGCCGGAAAAATAAAAAACAAAAGCCAGACCAGCCAAGACCTGGCCTTGACATTGGAGCCATGTGGAGACAGGCTCACGGAGCGACCGGGTCCAAGATGGCCGACTATCCAGAAACTTACTCAGACCTGTCGGACGACTTCTCCCACGCTCATCCCTCCCAGCTTACCGGTGACTACACCCAAGCCCCCGGATCCCGACAATGCACCTGTCACCACAGCGGTACTTAAGGCACTACTGGCAGGCTCACAGACCACAATCCAGACAGAAATGGCGGGCCTTTGCACGGACCTCCAGGGAATAACCGGGAGACTGAGTACCCTGGAAGACACCTCCACCACAACAGTGGTCCAAATTACCTCCATGCAACAGGAGATATGGGGCCTGCAAAACAAAACGAAGGCTTTTGAGCGGCGGTTTGCCGCACTGGAGGACTCACGCTGAGCGGCTAACTTAAAGATAAGGGGTATACCAGATGACTTGCCAGCAGAGGAACTACCGCACTTTCTGCGTAGACTCCTAACAGCGCTACTACCATCACGACAAGGAAAAGCAATAAACCTGTCACTAGTCACCCCCTCCCTCCCTCCCTTTGTCACTAGTCACCCTCCCTCCCTCTGTCACTAGTCATCTCTCCCTCTGTCACTAGTCACCCCCTCCCTCACTCTGTCACTAGTCACCCCCTCCCTCACTCTGTGACTGTGTCACCCCCTCCCTCACTCTGTCACTAGTCACCCCTCCCTCTGTCCCTCATAACCCCCTCCCTCTCTCTGTCACTAGTCACCACCTCCCTCACTCTGTCACTAGTCACCCCCTCACTCTGTCACTAGTCACCCCTTCCCTCCCTCACTCTGTCACTAGTCACCCCCTCACTCTAGTGACAGAGTGAGGGAGGGGGTAACTAGTGACAGAGTGAGGGAGTGTCGTGACTAGTGACAGAGGGAGGTGGCGACTAGTGACAGAGTGACTAGTGACAGAGAGAGGGAAGGTGTGACTAGTGACAGAGTGAGGGAAGGGGTGACAGAGGGTGGGTGTGACTGTGACTAGTGACAGAGGGAGGGAAGGGGCGACTAGTGACAGAGTGAGGGAGTGGGTGACTAGGGACAGAGGGAGGGGGTGACTAGTGACAGTTACCCCCTCCCTCACTCTGCCACTAGTGACCCCCTCCCTCACTGTGTCACTAGTCACCCCCTCACTCTGTCACCAGTCATCCTCTCACTCTGTCACTAGTCATCCCTTCCCTCCCACACTCTGCCACTAGTCACGCCTTCCCTCCCTCTGTCACTAGTCACTTCCTCCCCTACCTCCCTCTATCACTAGTCACCCCCCTCACTGTGTCTGCCCCTCACTCTGCCACCACTCACCCCCTCACTCTGCCACCTGTCACCACCTCCCACACTCTTCCACCTGTCACCCTCTCCCTCACACACACTGTCACCTGTCACATATGCATTCACACTGACCCTATATACAAAAAAGCACATGTAGTCATCCAGACATGCACAAGTGCATTCACACAGACTCAAATACAAACATGCATTGATACACAGGTCTTCACAATATACACATCCAAAGGAATGCCGTATTATATGAGCGTTATATTTAAAGGGACACTATAGTCACAGCTCAATGAAGTGGTCTGGGTGCCAGGTCCCTCAGGTTTTAACCCTTCAGATGTAAACATAGCAGTTTCACAGAAAGCCGCTAGAGGTGCATCTGTGACCCTGGATGCGAAATTCTCATCCAACGTGCAGAATGTCTATAGGAAATCACTGAGAAATGCTTTCCTATGGACTGTTTGAATGCGCGCGGCACTTGGCGTGCATGCGCATTCTGCTCCACTCGGGAGCTGACATCGGCGGGGGAGGAGAGGTCACCAGCCCCGAGGGAGCCCGGTGCTGGATAAAGGTAAGCTGCTAAAGGGGTTTTAACTCCTTCAGCGCCACGGTAGGGGGACCCTGAGGCTGGGTCCTGACACTATACTGATCCTTTAACATTTATTTAATGCACATGTATTTGGCCTTCAAAGGGCCATGGATCTAATTTTGCCCGGGGGCCCCAAAGGCTCTCAGTCCATCCTTGCTACGGCAAACACAGGGACCAACACGCCAAGGCACAGGTGGGATCCAGAAAAGGTGAACACTTTGTCCCACGACGGCCCAGTCATGGATCCCCAGCTGTTAACCCAACGTGAAGATCCAGAGACACAAAAATTAAGATAAGTTTCTAGCCGGGACTGTTTGACCCAATTACAACAGAGTAAACCTTGTATGAATCAACAGTTGTTTTGGACGCTCTGCTTACTTTGCTTTTGTTTTTGCATGTTTTGCCTATTCCTACCCACTGCCAAACTCTTCAATAGCAATACACGAGAGTTGATGCCAGTTATCCACATGCATAGTACATATGCCTATGACACCCATCAGATAAATTCCCACTCTCCCTTCCCCCTTCCCCCATCTGCCCTATACGGTGCTAGCGCGATATGTACCTACTGACGGCAGACAGACGGGGTCACCCCACGCCCTGCACCCGGGTACCTCCCAAGCCACATAACCACGTTATCGGCCACAAAGAGGAGGGTACATCATAGCACGACACGCTACCTTACCACCTCATGGAACAGCCCACTAAAAACACAGCGAGGTTCACCCCAGGGCACACACACTAAATGAGTAAACCTAACCTCACACATCAGGTACCAACTGGCTGCATTGAAGCCAATTTCATAAGCACTTCTCTAATACACATCAGGATGCTAACACCACCCTGCATTACTATGTGTACCCAATTTCTCTCTTTCACCAATAATACGTTACTTGCTTGTTATCTATATAACATATCAAAGTGCAACTTCCTAGCTAGATAAATTTAGCGAATGTATAAAAGAAAAAAATGTGTGATTATACATGCCACTGTCGAACTCATGCATATGATGTTTTACATTGATACACGCTGTTGTGGCGTCTGAAGTAACGCTGTACCCACCCGCACTACAAAAATAAAGAATTTTTTTTTTTAAATGCTTTTTGGGAGAAGAAAAATGTAAATTTACTAGATCAAAAAGAAGGCTTTTTTTTTTATCAATGTGGGTATTTGTAGAACATGCAAAGGAACGGAAGCTAAAAAATGAAACAAAATATGAATGAAAAGTTTATGTAAAAAAAATAAAATAATAATATATGGCATTTTCAAAATAATAATATATGGCATGCAATTCATGGCATGTGCTACTAATAATATAATTGATATCCTGCCATGCCAATGCACCCAATATGTGGGATGCATCAGAAAATTGCATTTTTGTATTGAGGAATATATCCAAATTATTAATAGACATTTAAGGATCACCTGCTGTCTTTGCATTTTTTTAAACTTCCATCATTTTTTTGATTTTTTATATTTTTTAGACAAGGAAGTGACTGCCCTTACAGTTGCAAGAAAAAGTATGTGAACCTCTTGGATTGATATGGATTTCTGCACAAATTGGTTATAAAATGTGATCTGATCATCATCTAAGTCACAACAATAGACAATCACAGTCTGCTTAAACTAATAACACACACAGAATGAAATGTTGCCATGTTTTTATTGAACACACCATGTAAACATTCACAGTGCAGGTGGAAAAAGTATGTGAACCCCTAGACTAATGACATCTCCAAGAGCTAATTAGAGTGAGATGTCAGCAAACTGCAGTCCAATCAATGAGATGAGATTGGAGGTGTTGGTTACAGCTGCCCTGCCCTATAAAAAACACACACTAGTTCTGGGTTTGCTTTTCACAAGAAGCATTGCCTGATGTGAATGATGCCTTGCACAAAAGGGCTCTCAGAAGACCGACGATTAAGAATTGTTGACTTGCATAAAGCTGGAAAGGGTTACAAAAGTATCTCCAAAAGCCTTGCTGTTCATCAGTCCACGGTAAGACAAATTGTCTATAAATGGAGAAAGTTCAGCACTGCTGCTACTCTCCCTAGGAGTTGCCGTCCTGTAAAGATGACTGCAAGAGCACAGCGCAGACTGCTCATTGAGGTGAAGAAGAATCCTAGAGTGTCAGCTAAAGACTTACAAAAGTCACTGGCAAATGCTAACATCCCTGTTAGCGAATCTACAATACGTAAAACACTAAACAAGAATGGATTTCATGGGACGATACCACAGAGGAAGCCACTGCTGTCCAAACAAACATTGCTGCACGTTTACATTTTGCACAAGAGCACCTGGATGTTCCACAGCAGTACTGGCAAAATATTCTGTGGACAGACAGTGCTTTAGGGCTCTGTTTATCTTGCTAACAAAGTAGCAGAGCTGTGTAACACTATTGGGGCCTCCCTCTGTTCTCCTTTTAATTGTATGATTGCAGCACAGGAAGAAAGCAGGAGTCGTTCCTGGTATTCACCCCTCTCCCTGCAAGGTTGTTTATCCAAGAGTCTGGTTCTAGGCACTGGTACAAGTGAGTGTGTTGATCAGGGGGACAATTAAAACTTTTTTTGTATACACAGTATGCACTAAGGATATAGGTTTTCTTGTTTTATTAGAGCATTAAAATTCTTGGATGAATTGTATATGTTATTATGATAGCTACAGAGTGTACAATACTGCCATCTAGTGAAAATAGAGCTAAATGCAAGGAATGAGTTTACTTGAAATTGCTGATAAATTGAATGAAAGACCATACACGATTTGGCATAATGTCACATGCTAACACACACCCAAAAGTCCTCTGTTGCATTCAACAGGCCAGCAAAACCTATACCTCTTCTTTCCAGATGATTTCTAAATGTGTGTGCAAATCCTTGCTCTACTAAGCGATTTGAGAAGAAGAAATATTATTACATCGCTGTCTGCTGAAAAAGAAATATCCACAATGTGGTCAGATCACACTGTGTGTTCTGTACAAGATAATAGCCTAATCTAGTCTGTGATAGAAGTGATTGCTCCCAAAAGAAAAGTCAGTTCAAGATAGATTTATTCATAAAAGAATACATTGATCATCCACAACATTAAAATCACTAACAGGTGAAGTGAATAACATTAATTATATAGTTACAAGGGCATATGTGAAGGGGTGGGATGTATTAGGCAGCAAGTGAACAGTCAGTTCTTTAATTTCATGTAAAATATATTAATCCTTAAAAGATATAATAATCCAGGAGCAGGTTATCAGTTAAGATCATAGGATATGAAAGAGCAAATAAACTTGCAACAATAAGTAAAATAATAGCAGATACTTCAAAAACAGTTACTAAATATCAGATCTTCTAAAAGAGTCCATATAGAAAGTCTTATAATTCAAGTGGATAAATCAGAAGTTAGATAAAATAAGTCCTCATATAGTCCACAAAATGTAGCAAATGGGAAATGCACACACTGCTGTGTATATAGGTTATAGGTTCTCCTACTACCTGTTACCTATTATCTAGGTTATAGGTTCTCCTACTACCTGTTACCTATTATCTCACTTATAGGTTCTCCTACTACCTGTTACCTATAATCTCGCTTATAGGTTCTCCTACTACCTGTTACCTATAATCTCGCTTATAGGCTCTCCTACTACCTGTTACCTATAATCTCACTTATAGGTTCTCCTACTACCTGTTACCTATAATCTCGCTTAAAGGTTCTCCTACTACCTGTTACCTATAATCTTGCTTATAAGTTCTCCTACTACCTGTTACCTATAATCTCGCTTATAGGTTCTCCTACTACCTGTTACCTATAATCTCTCTTATAGGTTCTCCTGTTACCTAATAACCTGTTTTGGGCATATTGCCTGGCTATTTTTGTTATCCCTCTATATACTTACCAATAATCACATTATAGGTTCTGATTTCTCCCTTTGTCCTATATTTTCCTTTATGGGCATTATTTTCTAAGTAACCTGTTTAGGGCATATTTCCTAACCCTCTATTTAATATTTTCCTTTTTACTCTCATTTCTGTAAATTATTTCCACTTTCTTTTTATGTCCTGCTACATTTATTGTTACTAGAAAACCATGTCAAAGATGACAAATAAAGAGCCTACAGTTAAAGGGACTCTCCAGTGCCAGAAAAACAATCCATTTTCCTGGCACTGCAGGTCCCCTCTCCCTCCCACCACCCATCCAACCCCTTCAGTGACTTACCTGAGACCCCTGCCGATGTCCTTCGGCGGTGGTTTCGGTTCGCCGCTCCTCCCCTTCATCACGTCAGCCAGCAGAGGAGACTGATACCAC